CCTTGTCTGCCCGAGGAGGACAAGTATAGATCTTGTCACTCCCTCTTGGCCAGAAGCAGAACTCTCTTCAATTGAAAATCTTTCCTTCTTGTCAAGTTCTATTTCCTTTAAGGCATTATTCTGTTACTTTACCCCATCTTCCTTTTTAGTCTTCATTTCTAAAATTGTTTGTGAAATTTCTAATTCTGGCTTGAGTTCTGTCACATTGCTGAGTTTTCCAATTCTGCTTTACATTGTCATTTCAGTTGGCGTCTTTCAGCTCGTTTTGAACTAGTAGCTATAGTTGGGATCCGCTCTAGGAACAGGTCTTTCTGGTATGCGTTCACCCCCCCCCCATCACCTCATCTTTATTCCCCCCACTTGGTGCTGTGTTCACAGGTCAGGGCTGCGTGTACAGGGGCTTAAAGGAAGAAAGTGCTGTTTGTAACTGTTATGTCAGAACTCCTAAAGGCCTGAGGGGGCAGGATGTGCCTTCAGCCACCTGGCAAAGCGAGGGCTAACGCAACGCAGCTGTACCGCCTGCTGCCAGGACCCGGCGCTCAGCACAGCCGCCCGCAGCTCTGCACCTGTGGACCGGAGTGGACTGAGGGGGACAAGTTCCTAGACTATTGCCACCTGCAGTCTAGAGCAGCAGTGACCGAGCTTACTGCCCCTCCTAAGAATGGAAAAACTTGGGTATAAATGGCAAGAAGGAAAAATAGTAGGTGAGCTTAAAAGAACGTGGAAATCCAATCTTACAATCCAGTCTTACATTAACACCTCAGAGGAAGCTTGGAGCAAGTCACTGCGCTCCATTATGCCAGAGGCCTGAAAGGTGAAGCCACATAGCTAAGACCCCACCTGCTCTTGGAACCTGACCGGAGCGAATAGAAGCTTGCAAACCAAGTGGCATCGCCCTGGGAGACATTTTCATATAGTATGGTGGTGGACTGGAAAATTATTAATGATTTTCTAGTAACATGTCACCATCTTTGACATTTATACTTGTTTTGCTATTAGGGGTCTGTGTTCACAAACCAGGGGATAAACTGTGATAATGTGCTTTAGAGTAAGAAATATATATTTGGTCTTTGTCCCCATTTCTGGCACAGCTCCTAAAACCCTTGGAATTTCCTAAGCCATGAGAGTATAAAGGTGTCTTGTGTGAATGAGGGTCACCTCAGGCACCTAAGGATGAGGGCTGGTTGCCAGTAGAGCCAACCATGTGACTAGAGGGTGGGAGCTTTCAGACCACCCCCGACCTCTGGGAAAGGGAAGGGCTGGAGGTTGGATCAGCTGCTCATGGCTATGATTTAATCAGCATGTCTACGTAGAGAAGCCTCCACAAAACCCAGAAGGTCTGAGCTGGGAGACCCTCTGGGGTGGTGGGCACGTAGGTGCTGGAGGACGTGGAAGCTCCGCGCTGACTCAGCTGTTCCATCTGGATGGTCTTCTCTTTTGTACCCTTTCATAATAAACGGTAAACATTGAGTCCTGAAAGATGCTCTCACAAATTAATCGAACCTGAGGACAGGGTTGTGGGAAGCTGATTTACAGCCGTTGGTTAGAAGCACTGGTGCCTACCTGGCCTTGCAGCTGGCATCTGGGGTGGGGGAGGTCTTGTGGGGCTGAGCCGTTAGCCTGCAGAATCGGCTGCTGTCTCCAGGGAGATGGTGTCAGAACTGAGCTGAAGTAAAGGACCACCCACCCGGCTGGCCTGAGAAGCGTTCCATGTGGGAAAATCCTCCACACATTTGGGGACTAGGAGTCAAGTGTCCTGAGTAGAAAAGGAGGCCCACAGGGAGATGCGGGGACACCGGGCTTTTCTAATGCAGCTTTGTCTCTTCCTAGAGTAACTTTGAGATTTGACCTTGGTCCTCTTCTGTCCCTCATTTAGTGAGAGTTCACTTTTCCTGAACTTGGAGGGCTGGTTCGGATGGCTGGTCTACCTCCACAGACCTCCCTCTTCTAACTGTGGTGCTCAGTGGCATGGTGGCTCGCTGCGACATGCCTGGCTTTGCGTCCCTCCTCCTTTCTTTTTCTGTTCTCCGTGTCCTGCTCAGGTTTTATTCCATTCCAAGCAGTTTGTGCCCAGGCTGGGGCCCTGACATCCCCTGGAGGTAAGTGATCTTCAAGAGTCCCGAGGAACAGGAGTGGGACGCTCAGCATCACGTGTCCTGTTAACACCTGCTGCCATTTTCGGGTTCTCTGACTCGGGTCGGCCACCACCACCACCAGATGCCCTACTGCTGCTTCCTTTCTTTCTGCCACACAAGGGGCAATAACACAGGTCTTAATGGCTGTTAGTTTCCCCAAACCAGCCTATCTTTGAGACTGTGGGGTTACTGTCACCTGGTGCTCTGTCACTGTTACCCTTGGGTTCAGTCTGTCTGGTAGCCCCCGTTGCACTGGGTACTGATGGGGCAAAATGAGACTTTGCTGCCAACCTCCTCTGCCATTTCCTCAGAACCAGGTCAGTCTTTTACTTTTTCCATTTTAATGGATGTGAAGTGGTATCTGAATGTGGTTGTAATTTGCATTTCCCTGATGACTGACATTGAACATTTATACATGTTTGGGTCTATTCAAGTGTTGTGTCCATTTTAAAACTTCAGTTGTCTCTTTATTGAATTTTAAGCATTGTTTATATACTCTGGATACAGGTCTTTGGCTTACGTTTGTTTTCATTTTCTCAATGGTGTCTTGAGCAGAAGATTTTAATTTTGTTGAAATCCAATTCCTTAATCTTTTTTGACTAGTTCTCTTATTGAGCTAAGAAAGCTTTGCCTACCCTAAAGTCATGAAGGTGTTCTCCTATTTAGATCTGTGACCCATCTTGAAATCATTTCTATATGTGGTATAAGGTTTCATTTTTGTCTATAGGGATATGAAGGTCTTCGAGCAGCATTTGTTATGAAGATTACATTGTATTGGCTCCTTTGCTGAAAATCAATTGCATATACATACAAATATGGGGGAAGGGGGTCTATTTTCGTCCCACCAGTCTATTCATTGTCCATAAGCCATTATCACAGTCAGTCTTGAATTTGTGCAAGTTCTCCAATTTTATTCTTTTCAGAATTATTTTGGCAACTCAGTTGTATGCATTTCCATGTAAATTTGAAAATAAGATGATCAAGTGCAAAAAGCCTACTGAGATTTTGATGGAGGACAGCATTAAATCTGTAGATCAAATTGTGAATCAACATCCTAACAATATTGAGTTTCCTAATCCATGCATATATACTACAGCTCTCCATTTATTTAGGTTGTCTTTTCTATCAGCAATGTTTTATACTTTTCATTATTCGTATTTGGATGCAATTATAAATTGCAGTACCATTATTTTCAATTCTGAATTCTTTGTTGCTACTAAAATACATTCAGTTTTATACTGACCTTTTATTTTGTGCTCCTGATAGTAAGCGGGTTTACCTAGTAATATTTTTGAAAACTCACTATGATTTTCTACATACTTGATCAGTCTTCAAATAAAGACAGTTTTACTTCTTCCTTTCCAATGTACATGCCTTTTCTTTTTGTTGCCAAATGCATCGGCTAAGGCCTTCACTTCACTGCAAATGCTGAACAGAAGTGGTAAGTACAGGCATCCTTGCTTTGTTCCTTATCTAGTCGTTTTTAATGACTAGCATTTTTCATAGATGCTCTATCACATTGAGGAATTTTCCTTCCATTCCTCGTTTGCTGAGTTTTTATCATAAATGTATGTTGAATTTTGTCAAACGTTTTTTTCCCTGCAAGATTATAAGCCTTTTGTTCTGTGTTAACATCATGAACTATACACTGATTGACTCTCTAACTGATTGACTCTCTAACGTTAAAGCAACTTTGCATTCCTGGGACCACACCTACTTTTCACCAGGTATCACCGTTTTTACATATTGTTGTGTTTGATTTGCTAATGTTTTTTATAAGGGAGTCTTTTATATTCATGAAGAATACTGGTTTAGTTTTCTGGTTTATTGCTTTTAAAATTGCTCATAATATCAAATTTTCACAGAAGTTTTCCACAAGAGGTTGTGTATTGGTATATAGTTTTTCCCTGCAATGTTTGGTAGAATTCATTAGTGTGCCTGGAGTTTTCTTTGTGGGCTACAAAATCAATTTGTTTAACAGGTAGAGGGCTATTTAGGTTATCTAATTCTTAAGAGAAGCTGGGTTGTTTCTTTCAAGGAATTTGTCCATTTTATTTACTGGCATAAAGTTGGTCATAATCTCTCATCCTTTTTTAAAAACAATTGATTTTTTAAAGTGCTTTCAGGTTCATAGCAAATTTGAGCTTAAAGTACAGAACACACTTACAGGTCCCCCATCATCAGTATCCGGTACCACTGAGGACCTACTGTGCCTCATCATCCAAGTCCACTACTTTGGGTGGTGTGTATTCTGCAGGTTTGACCAACGTGTAATGACATTTATGTACCACTGGAATGTCACAATCGCTTCACTGCCCTCATAATCCTCTCTGCTCTGCTATTTATCTCTTCCTCCTTTACCTCTGGCAACCACACTCATCTTTTATTGTCTCCATGGTTTTGCCTTTTTTAGGTCATATAGTTGAAATCATACAGACAGATTTTTAGACTGGCTTCTTTCACTGATTAATAATATACATTTACATGTCCTCCATGTCTTTTGTGGCTCAATAGTTCACTTCTTTTGAACACTAAGTAATATTCAGTTTATCCATTCACCTCCTGAAGGACATCTTGGTTGCTTCCCAGTTTGGCAATTATGAATAAAGCTGCTATAAATAAGGTTTTTGTGTGGGCATAAGTTTTCGGCTCTTGGATAAACACCAAGAAGCTTGATTGTTGGGTCATCTGATAAGAGTATGTTAGTTTTGTAAGAAACCGCCAAACTGGCTTCCAGAGTGGCTGTAGCATTGTGCACTCCCAGCAGCAGTGACAGGGAGTTCCTGTTGCTTCTTATCCTTTTCAGCATTTGTAGAACCTCTAGTAAGGTTGCCATTCTTTTTACTGATGTTAGTAATTTGTGTCTTTTTTTTTTTACTAGAGATTTTATCAGTTTTATTGACATTCTTAATCCAGTTTTTGGTTTCATTAAATTTCTCTGTTTTCCATTTGTTTCCGTTCTGATATTTAATATTTCTTCTGCTTCTTTGCTCTTCCAACTTTCTTTTCTTTTTCTATTAAAGTGGAAGCTAGGTCAGTGATTTCAAATTTTTAATCCTTTTCTAATCCAGGTGCTTAGTGCAATAAATTTCCCAAGGACCAAGTTAGCTGAATCCTAACCATTTTGATATGCCGTGTTTCAAAATGGCCTTTTGATTTCTTCTTTGATTCACAGGGTTTTGGGAAGTGTGTTATCTTTTTGATAATGATTTCTAGTATAATTTTCGTAAGTTGCATTTGTATAAATTATTGAGACTTGTTTAATACCCAGGAACATAACCAATCTTGGTAAATGTTTCATGTGTACTTGGAAAGAATGACTGTGTTCTTGTTGGGTGGAGTGTTGCATAAATGTTAACTATATCAAGTTGGTTGACAGTATTGTTCAAGTTTTCTGTGTCTTACTGATTTTGATTTTTCTGTCTACTTATCAATTATTGAGTGGTGTGCTGAAATTTATTGTAATTGTAGGTAGTGTCTCTCCTGGCAGTTCTGATAGAACAGTTTTGGTGGCATGTGTTTTGAAGTTATTAGGTATATACGTGTTAGGGATTATTGCCTCTTAATGAATTGACCCCTGTATTGTTATGAAAACAGCCCTCTTTACCCCTAGTAAATTTTTTGCTCTGAAATCGCCTTTGACTAATATTAGCTACTCCAGATGTCTTTCAATTAGTGTTCAACAGGCATATATTTTCCCATCTATTTTTAACTCGTGTCTTCATATTTAAAGTGAGGCAACATATATAGTTGGGTCTTAACATTTTTATTCAGTCTAACAATCTCTGCCTTCTAACTGGGGCATTTAGGTTTAATCAAATTACATTTAATGTGATTACTGATTTTACTGGATTTAAATCTACCATCTTGCTGCTTTTTGTTTTCTATTATGTGCCAGCTGCTCTTTGAAGTTGAATGACTGATTAAAACTTTAGGATATAGATATAAGATATACTCCAACATGTTTCTAATCTGGTGCTTAAACTGCTCTGTAGTTCAAGATAAAATAACTGAGAAAGCACTCAATAATATGAGACTGTCTCTGAGACATAATTCTGGTAGAAAAAACCCTCACTCTCTATATTTAGGCTTTTACTATATACAGATGTTTCCTAAATTTATATCTCTGAGATGTGTTTTGAGATCTCAACCTCTATTTAACAACTCTACCTGGATGTTTCATGGGAAACTTTAATATCAAGAATCTAAATTCATATACCTTCGGCTTCAAACTCATATAATTCAAGCTAAGAAACGGTGAAACTTCCCTATGGTTAGGGCTCCTACCTAGTATATAGGTTAATCAAGTGACTTTCTTACCATGTATCACATACATAGGACAGCTCAGACCTGAGGCCCAAAAACAAAAAAAGGTTAATAATTAAAAGGACCCTTTATTTTAAATGTAGATAGTATCAGAAGTCATCCGAATAATTTAGAATAGTTAACTGCCTCTTAAATATGATCTTATACATGATGTCTTCTGAAGTTAAAAGTAATCTGGATTCTATCAGTTTGTTTGTCTATGAAATCTTCTAAGAAAGGAAATCATAACAAGTTCCTGATCAGACCAACACCATTAGGGGATTAAAAAGCATAAATAAATTTGAACAGACCTAGCAATTTCCTGGGTTTTATCCTTCTGTATAATCCTGACACTTTATATTAAAACTGTATTCTGGTCTCTTACCATAAGCAAGAAATTCCTTAACAGCAGCTCAGAAATGACCTTAACGTCCTGGTGAAACATACTTCTTCACCTCCTGAGGGTCAGTTGGTGCTCCAAACTTGAGTACACCTGCTGTCTCGCCTCTGCTGATCTTCTCAAGCATCTCCACAGGAGGACAAGCATGATGAATGACCATTCCAGCCACGGTGTCCGCCTTAACCTTCCAAATGCCACTGCTGGGAGGAGGAGCCATCACAGATTGCCATAGCAACGTAGCCTTTGTGACTCAATGGGTCAACCACTCTCAGGCACTGTCCCACTGACACTTGGTACAGTCGATTATTCTTCTGGAAAAGAATAAAGTAAGAGATAACAAGAAAAAAATGCCACCAGTTCTATGCTTCCAACTTGTCAGAATATGGTAAAGAAGATACAGTAATCCCGAAGAGATGGGAACATTTAAAGCCCCTTACAGAATGCTACAAACTCAGAACCGCCCTCTATCGGGGAGAATGGTCCCTCTGCCCTGCTCCCTCCCTCATTCCATCATCACTAAGCGAGCTCCTCACCCCAAAGGTCCACTGCTGGGACCCGCCCGATCCATGGCACTTCATGAGTCGTGGGGGGTCTGATGAGCGAGTTTCTGACATATCCAGGCAAAGGAGATTACTTAAAACCAACTCATGCTCTTCATTATAAATCCAGACCTATCGAAGAAAGTAAAAGATCAAAACCCCAAGTCCTAGCCACAGCAATCAGTTAAAACAAAGTGAAACAAAGTGAAAATGTCTTTATTTGCAGATGACATGATACAAAAAACCTTAAAGACTCCAAAACAAAACCCAATTAGACTAAATTACTTAAGTAAAATTGCCAGATAAAGAATATACAGAAGTCTGTTTCTACACACCAATAACAAATGAGAAGAAATTTTTAAAATCCCTTTTACAACTGCATCAAAAAGAATACATAGGAATAAATTTAACCAGGGGTGAAAAAACTGTACTCTGAAAACTGTAAGACACTGATGAAAGAAACTGAATACATGGAAAGCTATATACCTTGGTCATGGGTTGGAATGATTAATATTGTTAAAATACCTTTACTACTGGGGCCAACCGAATGGTTCAGCTGGTTAAGAGTTGGCTTAAGAGTGCGAGCTCTGAGCAATAGGGCCGCCGGTTCGATTCCCACATGGGCCAGTGACGCTGCACCCTGAGCTGAGCTGTTGCTGAGTTGCCAACAACAGGTGGACAATTGCTCAGCTGGTGTAACAACAAGATTGCCTGTTCAATGGTGGGCTATGCCCACCTGCAACTAAGACTGAACTCAGCACCTTGAGCTGAGCTGCCGCCCAGATGGCTCAAGGGGTAGAGTATGCGCCCTTAACAAGGCTGCTGGTTTGACTCCCGCCTGCAACGAAGACTGAACTTGGCACCTTGAGCCTAGATGCCACGAGCTGCCGACGGGAAGCCAGGTGGCGACTGGCACCATCCACAACGAAGACTGAAGAACAACAACTTGGCTGGTCCCCCTCCCCCAATTCCCCAACAAAATCTTAAAAAAATAAATACCCTTACTATCTAAACTAATATACCGATTCAGGGTAATCCCTATTAAAACACCAATGGCCTTCTCAAAATTAGAACTAATCCTAAAATTTATATGGAACCACAAAAGACCCAAATAGCCCAAGAAATCTTAAGAACTATACTATAAAACTAAACCAGCATTGTACTGGCATAAAAAACAGACACATAGATCAATGGGATAAAATAGAGAGCCCAGAAATAAATCCTCACTTAGACTGTCAATCTACGACAAAGGATATACAATGGGGAAAGGGCAGTCTCTTCAATAAGTGTTGGCAAAACTGGGCAGATACGTACAAAAAATATGAAATTGGACTTTATTACACCATATACAAAAATTAACTCCAAATGGATTCAAGACTTAAATGTTAGACCTGAAACCATAAAACTTCCAGAAAAAAACACAGGCACTAAACTCTGACATCGCTCTTAGTAGTATCTTTTTGGATATGTCTCCTTGAGTAAGGAAAACAAAGAAAAAAACAAATGACAATACATCAAAATAAACAGTTTTGCATGACAAAACAACAACTTGCTGAATGGGAGAAGATACAGTAATGCCTCGGTTTGCGAGCATATTTCGTTCTGGAAACAAACTACTCGTAAGACATCACTCGTTTACCATGTTAAAATGTATTAGAAATGTTTGCTCATCTTGCAGAACACTCGCAAACAATGTTACTCGCAATCCAAGGTTTTACTGTATTTTCAAATGATACCTCCAATAAAGGGTCAATATCCAAAGTATATAAAGAACTCATACAACACCCCCAAAAAAATCTAATTTAAAAATGGGCAGAGGACCTGAGCAGACATATGAAAAGATGTTCAATGTTACTAATCATCAAGGAAATGCAAATTAAAACCACAATGAGATACCACCTCACACTTGTTAGAATGGCTATCATCAACAAGACAAATAAGTGTTAGAGAGGCTGTGGAGAAAAAGGAACCCTCACACACTGCTGGTGGGAATATAAATTGAAACAGCCACTATGGAAAACAGTATAGAGGTTCCTTAAGAAATGAAAAATAGAACATATGACCCAGCAATCCCACTTCTGGGTATTTACCCAAAGAAAACAAAAACACTAATTCTTAAAGATATATGCACCCTGTGTTCCCTGCAGCACTACTAGTAATAGTCGAGATATGGAGACAACCTAGTGATCAAGAGACGACTGGATCAAGATGATGTGTATACACACGATGGAATATTACTCGGCCATAAAAAAGAATGAGATCTTGCCATTTGCAACAACAGGGATGGACCTAGCGGGTATAATGCAAAGTGAAGTCAGAGAAAGACAAATACCGTATGATCTCATGTATAAAGGACTAAACAAACAGACCCACAGATACAGACCGGTGCCAAGGGCAGGGGAAAAGCAGCACTTCCTTTGCCATTTCTAACAAATTCACAGTTTTCAAGTCATTCTGTGTAACTGGAAAGTCTAAATAATGCTCTAAACAATGATCAGAGGTAGGAAAACTATATGGAGGAAACTATATGGAGGAGACGAAAATAGCTGTGCTAGACCTCTAAAATCATCCTGAAAAGAGAAGTCCAATTAAACTCCGGGTATCTGCCCTCCCTCCTCAGGAAAGACTCCCTCTGTGCACTGGCTGGGAGCAGCATCACTCACCTGAGTAGGGTCGCTGTAGTCACACGCCTTCAGCACTACGAGGCCTCCCTTTTGACTTGGGCGGCCCTGGGCCACCAGGCACTTGCCGGTCTGAAGGTGACAGAGCTGTAAAAGAAGAGGCTCCTGAAACCCGTCATGCAGGACAGACCAGTGTCAGAAAACACCCTTAAGAATGCTGGGAAAGGTTCTGGATGACATATGAAAATGTTATTCCAAAGGCAGAATTCCAGAGGTCATAAAAGACAAGCACTTTTTATTCCTAAATACGTAAGAGCATCACAATAGACTCAAGGTTATAGGCAGTTTTAACAACAGAGGCAAGCAGTGTCAAGTAGAAATTCTGCCTAAAGATACAAGTTTACTAAGCTATTACAGGGAAGGAAAAATAAAACTATCACATTTGCACTAAAGAACCTTAATTTAAAACTGAGGCAATAGGAATAAAAGATATAAAGCAAATGGTACATAATTAAATATAATATACATACTAAACTGGAAATAGATTATAAATTCCACAGGAATTCTAAAAGTGAGATGCATCAAAACTCGAGAACCTACTCTAAATAAAAGCATTAGTTTAAGTATTAGAGATTAGACGTGCAAGGCAAGAATACTATTGGTGAGGGATTTCAACTATATGGACACTGGTAACTGTAAGAGAAAACACCTAATAACATCTTGATGATTTTTTTTTAATCTCGTAAGATAGAAGAAGAAGGGGTAACGCTCTAGGCTTCATTCTAACCACTAATAGTTGGCACTGTGAAAGAACCTCAAGCACTGCCTTCTTTGTAACACAGAAGAAAACTGAGCAACAATTATAATGGCTCCACTTTCAGAAATTCAAGAAAAGGGTATGATTTTCTGGCTACGCCCCTAAAATTTAAGTGTGATTATAAAACTGAAAAACTCTATCAGAAACAAAAGGAGAACAGCTAAAGAAACGTGGCTGTTCGGTGGGTTTTCTGCTAAGCTCAAATGATGGCTCAGAACATGGGGTGTGAAACCTCACCTGACACCAGCACTTAACCCTGCTCACTTTTCACTTCCTGTCTGCAGTGGATCCCCAGAGCTGAGGCCAAACAGTGTACAGCTCCCCAATTTCTCCTCTTGTTTTCCTTATTGGACAGGTCTCTGCCAAATGAATTTTACACTTATCCTGCCTTTGTTGTATATTCATATCTATATCCTCTCGGAAGCTAGCACAGAACTTACAGAAGTCATGCCCTCTTTTAACACTGGTAGGTAAAGGAGCTTAACATTAATAGCAAAGATACTAAAATGTTCATAAAAAGAATATAATGGAAGGCAAGCTAAAGGCTATCATTAAATATTTTATCACTAAATATTCTGATCAGTCTACAATGACATTATCATACAACTTTTAATGAAATACTTTGATAAGATTACTTTCTTACCCTTCCACGTTGAAGGACTTTGGGGCGTTTTGGCCCTCTGTTGATAAAAATGGGTTGCTGGGGTTTGGCATTGGGCCCAGATATCTGCATCTCTGGGTAAATGTTATCCAAATACCATTTAAATGATTTACAACCCAACTTCTTCCTCAATTCAACACGCTCACTGATATTTCCATAGCTTCTGGTCCTTAGGTCAGGTCGTAAAGAAAAATACTGCTCCTGAATTGAAAAAAGAAAATTTTTTTAAGAGAATGGATTTTTTTTGTTGTTTAAAATGAGTATCATCAATTATATCTGAGGTCTAAAGGACAGCTGAAACAGATGAGAAAAATATTTTTCATTCCAGTGTTTTCTTAATGTTGCCCCAAAATGTCAATGAAAAGTTTTTACACAATTAGCTCCATAACTTAAAATAAGACATCTTAAAATGTAAGATACACCTCAATCTCAGAAAGTGCAAAACACACACAAATGTGTATCTCATAATCAATGAAACATTTGAGATTGGCAGTTCTCAAACTGATGTCAGGATTCTGTATTCTTAAAAATTATTGAAGACTCCCAAGAGGCTCTGTTTCTATGAGCAATATCTATCGATATTTACCATAGAAGTTAAAATTCAGAAATTTAAAAACTGATTAAATGTAACAAACTCATTACCTATTAACATAAACAACATGGTTTAAACAAAAAATCTACTGAGAACAGTGACACTGCTCTATGCAAACCTTTTCAATGTCTGGCTAAAAGAGTTGGCTGAATTCTCATATCTGCATTTAATCTATTACTATATGTTTTTAGGTTAAATATACTTTTTAAAATGAGTTTGTGGAAATATATAGTTTAAAATGAAAGGAATATTTTAATAACTTAGATAATTATGGCTATTCTTTTTTGATACTACACTATAACTCAATAACTTTTAAAGGTTAGCTACAATGTAGATTATGAAAGCGAACCATTGCGCTTTCATTTTGTTGCATTAAAATCTACTGGTCTTGCTCTTTGAATGGATCTTTTACCCATGCAAGATTTTTATAACTTCATATATTAGACATTTGGAAAATACTGGTCCGTTGGGTTGAAGTTCTTCCAGATAGTGACAAATTTCACTATATAATATCCAAAAAATTATATTCATAAATATTACTACCAATCTCATTAGAAAAGTTTTTAAGCACCAGGAAGCTATCAAGTTTATGGTTGAGGTACAAGTTTTCCAAAATTCTAATTTTTACTTGAAAGCTTGAATTTTATCATTTGTAACAACTACTACAAGTTGTTTTCTGTGAAGTGAAAGTCTCAGTTCATGTTTGAGAAAATGTTTGCCAAATCCCCAAACATGAATAACCATGGTTTGTGAGTCATTCATAAAAAGAGTATTCTATGGGGAGAAGGGGCTAGTTCAGCTACAACTCAAACATCTGTACAAATGATTTTCCTGGAAAGAGCACTATCTTCAGCTTTCTCTATGCTTGATATGAATACTGACACAGAACACTAAGAGACACGGTGAGAGCTAATATAATTCATTATTTTTACTACTTCACCAAGGACATTCTTAGGTGAAACTGGCATTTTTTAAGTTCTGAATGAACTGGCAGTGAGGAATTCAATTTGGTGCTGATGCTTTGACTGATGCTAAGGCACCAGCCATTTGCACCATCGGTGTAATGTCAACATGGTGAAGTGGCAGATGCTCTACTAACCTGACTGCAAGCAGCTTTGCCCCGCCAGGCCTGAAAGCGTGCTCTGTGGACCACATTTTGAGAGCTGCTGTATTAGGCAGTGATGAGTCAAAGATGCTTGGACCTCTGAGGAGCTCACAGTCCAGTGGAAGGAGGAGATAAACAATTGTGCAGGAAAAATGTGACTGAGACCTGACTTTCACTCCCCAAATAGTTGCTTCATCCTCTTTATTCCCATAACATGAGGTATATACTCCTCTTGCATTTACCTCAGAGTTAAAAATTACCGTGCACTCCCTCAGTCATTTTTGTATCCCCCTAAATGTAACACAGCCTGGTATATAGAGGTGCTCAATACATGCTTGTTTAAAAAAATTAATTGTACAAAAGTGTTCACAACAGCATTTTTCATAACAGTCAAGAAGTGGAAACAACCCACATGTCCATCAAATCATCAGTGGATAAACAAAACAAGATGTATTCACACAATGGAATATTACTTGGCAGTAAAAACAAAGTACTGATAACACGGTACAATGAGGATGCATCTGAAATCATCATTATAAATGATGTGGTCCCAAAAGACCACATACTGTGATATTCCATTTGTATAAAATGTCTAGAATAAGGCAAATCTATAAAATGAGCGGAGGGGGTAGGTTACTGGTTGTCGAATAGGCCTGGTGGATGTCGGGGGGGAGTGACGGCTGAAGGATGCAGAGTTTCTTTTGGGGGGGTGATAAAATGTTCTAAAACTGACTTGTAATTATTCCTCAATAAAACTGTCACAAAGAAAACATCACTGCAAGTTGCACCTGATGGAAGGTGGGAAGGAATGCTCCCCGTGCAAAGTCTGACAGCAGCCTGGTTCCACAGGAGTCACAGGACAGGGACCAGAGCAAATAAAGAAACGGATGAGAGACGGCAGTTCTGATATTAGCTACCTCACCTCTTACTCAGTGGTCATGTGGAAAATTAAAAGAAGAGTCAGAATAAAAAATAAGTGAAACAGGCGGCCGAGTAGCTCAATTGGTTACAAGTTTGCTTAAGAGCACGAGCTCTGAGCAACAGGGTTGGTGGTTCATTTCCCACATGGGCCAGTGAGCTGTGCCCAAGCTGAGCTGCTGCTGAGCTGCCAACAGGTGGCAGGATGGCTCAGCTGGTGTAACAAGAAGATTGCCTGTTCGATGGTGGGCTATGCCCACCCACAACTAAGACTGAACTCGGCACCTTGAGCTGAGCTGCCACCCAGATGGCTCAGTGGATAGAGCGTGCGCTCTTAACAAGGCTGATGATTCAACTGCTGCATGAAAAAAAAAAAAAGAGTGAAACACTGGGTGTAGAGGAAGGAGATGGTTACCCAAAGAGAAATATGCAAGAGTGACAAGCATCTGAAGCCACCCCAAAGGAATGATGGCCTCCCACTCATCCTCCTCCGTGAGAAATGTAAGCTCACCTTATATTCATCCAGCCAAACATGTGCCAGCCTCAGGGAGTTGTGTGTCATGGTGTCCTGACCCTCAGGAGAACCATAGGGTCGCCTTTTGCGAAAAATGTGTCCCACTCTAGAGCAAGGGATGATGAACAGTTTGCCTCCACACATCCAAATCTGGTCAGAAGCAAAATATGGATTAACAGTTGCCTCACAGTGCTATGGAATCAATGTATGATGTGTCAGGAAATTAACCTTTATTAAAAAGGTGTGTGTGAGACTTTGCAAGATGTTTTCTTATTAGATATTGCTCCTCAAACAGAAGACAAAGGGTTTGTTTTTTAAAAATTATCTGTATGATTAAAAGGAAACTGAACTCTAAAACAACATAATATTCTTGTGTTATCATTTGTCTAGTCACACTTATATCACTGTTTTAAAAGATCAAGAAACTTAGGGACAAGGAATTCTTACTGTAAACTGGTCCTGTAATTTCACGTTTACAGGTACTTTCTTATAAAATGTATAGATAGACTTAAGAAAATTTTTATAAAATATACAGAATAACTCTTAAGATGAAAAATATCCTAGTTTTGGTCTAAATTTTACCCTTGACGATCTGAGTTACTTTATATAGTTATTTTCATTTTTGTGGGACTCAATTACCTTATCTACAAAATAAGACTAAACTAATGATACCTATTAGTCCTTTCAATTTGATTATATAGGAAAAATTGCCTTTTAAAAACACTGTCGTCAATATACTTGTAAAAACACAAAATGACATCTACACCAAGTGTTGTGTTCGTGTCTGAATGGAGACTCTGCTGTCTGGACTAGGAGACCGGAGGTGGGGCGTGGGGGCCTCTGTCTGTTTTCTGCCTTTTCCAAAGCCTGGCTTATCATCACCACAGCTCCCCGAGCCACAGACCCCACCCAGACTCATTCCCACCTCGGCAACTGGAGATGAGGAGAGATTAGGAGAGGGAGAAACCCTTCCTCGGGCTGGGGGTGCCTGTGTGTATGAAGGGTTCAGTGAGCTGCACAGGGGGTGATGCTATGATCTGGCACATAACCGGCTACTTCTGAGAGCGAAACGGGGACAACTATACTTTCTCCAGGGGAAGAGGACTCTCAGGCAACAAGGGAAACCGGATCGCCCCACTAGACAGGGCAAGAACAGAACTCTAGACTCAATAAATGTACATTAAGTCTTCTGGATTTAACACCCAACCGTTAAATACATCTATCCATTTTGAATTCTCATGAAATACAAAGGGTGCCAAGAAATGTATACATATTTTAAGAAACGAAAAGCCTGTATTAGAATTGTAATATTCAATATATACTGATAACAAAAGATGAATACAAGTCATGTGTATACATTTTGTTTGACGCCTTCCGTATATACATAGGGCTTATTATCCATCCATGTCATTAAGGACAATTTTTCTTTTTTTTTAACAGGAGAAAAATAACCAAATTTAATTACGTATGTACTTACAGAGGACAATTTCTTAAAGACAATCAAAGAGAATTTACAGAAAATATGGGATCACGGATAAAAATTATATTCTACACAAATAATTAAGCATGCAAAAAAATGAAATTACCCGAAATGATATTTCTAAGTTTTCTCCTCCCCAGATATCCATGCCACTGTCATACTGCCCAAGCTCATTGAAATAGTTTCTGTTCATGGCGAACAATCCTCCAGCCATTGTAGGTGACCTACGAAAGGAAAATAATTACAGCGTCAATTCTGTACAATTAGCTCCTATTTTTATGTTTAAAAATTCTGTCCAGCTTTGGAAAATTATTCATAAAAACTACTGTGTTGTCGGAAAAGCCATGACACATTTTTGCAACGAAAAACCGAAAAAATACGTCATGACCTTTCCGACAACCCAATAGATAGATTCACAGCTATGAAACATATTTCATCTAATATTAGGACATGAGCTGGGACACAAAACTGCATTTTCTGGGTACACTAGATACCTGGCAAACAAAGTCTACTTTTTTAAGTACCAAAAGTACTTTTTTTTTTTATAACCATTGTTGACAAAAATCTACCTCAAATGAATTAATCTTCTGACAGTCTCAAAGAGCCACTGGGTTAAAAGCTGAGCTTCAGGGCCTACCACGGTGAGACCAGTAGCTCTCCAACGGGGTGATTCTGTCTCCAAGCAAGCGTCTCATTAACCTGTGGAAACCTTTTTAGCTGTCACAACTGGGTGTGTGTGTGTGGGGGGGGGAGGTGGCGAGAGGCAGGCAGGGGGCTGCTACTGACATCTGATGGGTTGAGGCCAGGTGTGCTGCAAAATGAAGAATTTATCAGGCCCCAAATGTCAGGACTGCCCTGACGGAGAAACCCGGTGTTAGTCAGTGAGAGCATCTGAAGTGCACTGGCCCGATGAGAGCCGAGCCCACTTCCAGTCATCTCACTTCCTGACAATGGATTAGGTCATCATGGATTCTAGCGTCCCAAGCTGCCTGCCACAAGTGAAGCAAAATTCTCTCTGCAAGAAGAAAACATCATCCCAGGCATAAATATACTTATGTAATTTTTCATACAGTCTGGGACTAAATGAAAATAAATAACCAGAAAGATAAATCACATGAAAGAGAAATAATCTGCAACAGAAACAGATGTGCAGGGATGTCAAATAATGGAGTTATCAGGCAGAAACTTTAAAATAACTTCAGTATGTTCAAACATAATAGACAAGATTGAGAATTTGGCAGATAATTACATACTATCAAAAATGAAACCAAATTTATGTGTATCTGAAAAACTCTTCTGACACAAACAGAACGGAAATTTAAGCAGCCAATGAAAGAGATTAGCGTCAAAGGAAACAAAACTAAGACTGCAGCTAATTTCTCACCAGAAACAGAAACCAGAAGAGCCCTGAAAGAATGTATCTGCCAATCGAGAACTGTACATCGAGTAAAATTATTCAAAATAACGGTGAAACAAAGACATTTGCAGGGAAAGACAGGAGTAATCACCAAAAGAAATACATGTGTTCTTTAGTCAGAATAAACATAACCTCAAATGGAAGTTTGCAGATGCAGAATAAAGAGTGACATAAAAGGGGACATGTGTGGGTAAACCTAAATGAGTAATGGTTACGTGCTGTATGATTAAAACAATATGCACATTCTGAGATCCTAGCATTCATTGTCTGCAGAAAGTACCAATTTATATTACACTTTGATAAGTTAAGGATGTATGTTGTAGTCTCCAGGGTAACCCCTAAAAGAACAGTGCACAAGTATGTATAACTTCTAATAATGGTGTGGCTGCTGAACAGAATTATAGTAAGTAGAAACTCAGGCCAAAGAAGGCAAGAGAAGAGAAAAATATATAAAACAGAAAGAACAAATAGAAAGCAAATGGTACCACTGTAGTCAAAGTTTTTCACACTGGTTTCAAAACAAAACAAAAGGAACTACATGCCACTTACAAGGGACACATCTAAATATAAGGTCATAGAAAGATTGACAGGCAAAGGGAAGAGAAGTTATACAATGTGAATACTGATCAAAATAAAGATGAACAGCCATATTATCAGACTATAAAGCAAAAGTTTTGCTATTCTAGAAGTATAGAATAAAAGACAATTCATAATGATAAGTGGTTTCATTCACCAGAAGATTTAATAATTCTAAATTTTCATGCATCTGTTAACACAGCCTCAAAATACCGGGGGTGCCAAAAAAAAATGTATACACATTGTAAGAGATGTTATCTATGTACTACATTTCAAAGTTGAGTTGAATTATGGTAGCAATGTGTAGTATGTTTGCTCCAACGATGGCATTAATCAAATGAATGCTAGCGTCATTCTTAGTATTACAATTTTAATACAGTTTCTTTTCCTTTCTTAAAATGTATATGCATTTTTTTGCACCCTCTGTATATGAAGAAAATATTTAAAGAACTGAGGCGAAACATACACAGCTGTAGTGGAAAACTATATATATATACCACTTTCGATAACTGATAGAACATATGAATTAAAAATTAATAAAAATATGGAATATTTCAGTAACACAATAAACCTAACCAAACTGATACAGAATCCCATCTTTAACAAATGGAGAAAATACAAATTTTCCAGGCACGCAAGGAATATTTACAAAAATTAACCATATACTAGACATTAATCTCATCAATTTCCATAGAATTAAAATGTTTTATGACCACAGTGTAATTAAGCTAGGAATAAATAACTATAAAATCTCCATTTGTCAAGAAAATAAATGCATCGCTACATAACCTATGAGTCAGAGAAGATATCACAGTGAAAATACCTTTAAATAAATGATAAAAAATGATATATCACTATTGGTGGGTTGCAGCTAAAACCATCAGAAGAAAGTTGATCATTTTAAATACATGTATTAGAAAAGGAAAAGTCTGAAAAAATTTAAAATCTAAGCATCCAACTCAAGAAGTTAGCAACCTTGATATCATAAAAGTGAAGTAGCTTATATAGAAAGGTAGAAAAAGTGGGAGAAAGGGGGCTAATATCCTCACTGCAGTGTCAAATGATGCTGTCAAAAGACAGCACAGCAAGAAAGACTTTTTAAAGTATCAAAAGAAACCCGATACAATAACTACAAACAACCATCCTACAACACTAGGGACAAAGAATACTAGGGCATGATGTAAAAGCTAAGTCTTCATTTTTCCTATGGAGAGGGGCCAACGTTCGTTTGATGTTGAAAGAGGACTATGCGTATCATCTATACAAGGAAGTGAGAAGGGGAAGACCAAAAATAAAAACAGTTACGAGAATTTGCCTCTGGGGAGAAGGACTGAGAATAGGAAGAAAAGGGGTAGAGTCGGCCACTTTTCATTCTAAACTCTTCTATTGATTTGTTACTGAATACATTCATGTGTTAGGTTAAAAATTCAACAATGAAAAACATACCCATGAAGATGATGAAATAGGCAAAAACATGGCAACTGCACTAAAACTAAGAATGAGAATACATATATAACAGTCTGGGGGATTTTCTTCTTGCACTGGCAGAGGAAAACAAAAAATACTTTACTGGACTATGCTTAATTCACCTTCTGAAAAAGAAAACACAGGCAGTCCAGAACGAGACAGGAAATGGAGTCACCGCTACCATCTGTCTCCAATCACATGATGTGAGGTCACGGAGGTCAGACATGGACAGTCCCCAGAGGCAGCCCTGCCCCCGCAGAGGGGTGCTCCAGCCCTAACTCCCCATCTGCACAGCTGGGGAGGGCACGGCGGGTAGTGAGTGACCCACACTGAGTCCCCGGTACGTAACGTGAGAAAAAGCTGCCAGCACATGAAGACGGAAGACAGGAGCTGGAGATGGTCTATTCATGGACTTCACTGCGAACCGCAGCAGCTTCTCCCACGAAACCTGAGCAGAAAGCCGGCCCACAGACCTGCCAGTAGATCACATCAGAAGCCATGAAGGAGAAGGTTGGACACGGCAGTTTGCAACGTAATAAAACAACTGAAAACAACCCTAGTGCCCCACCAACGGAAACCTGGGTACGTAAGTTATAATAATTAGTAGGATAGAGCATTATACAGCAATGACAACCAATCAGCTAGAGCTATCCACGGCAGCACAGGGAAATGCTGACAGCAATGTTGAGAAAAAGCAGCAAGACAGAGTCCCACAGCTTCATTTACATGAGATCCAAGAGCAGGCACGACTAAGAAGTTTAAAAGGGTCCAAGAACTTTAAAACCTCTCTGAAATCGACATGAGCAATTTAAAACAAAACAGAAACAAGAGAAGGCATAACAGAGCAGATTTATAATACAGAATATGGATGGGAACTGAAAATAATTCATACACTATGACTTAGTAATTGTACTAGTAGGAATCCATCCTAAAACTCCTGATTGCAGAAAAAGCTTACGTATCAATTGTTCTCCACCAAACTAGCAAAAAGCTAAAGGTAAAAATGATCAGTGTGACACACGGCATGTGACAGAAACAGCACAGCACACAGGGTACGCCCATGGTATCCGGTGCTACACACCCAGGATACTGCTGGCTCTGCCTGTCCGCCTCACTAAGCTGTAAGTCCTTGAGGGCATGACAGTCTAATTCAGAGACCTTCCCTTAGGGCTTGGCAGAGTGCACAAAATCCATAAGCACTCAAGAATTTTCATGGACAAAGCAGCCAGCACTTTTGTTTTTTGCAAAGAAGAAGGAATTATCTTTGAAATATTTTTTCCTTCTTGAAGTACTGGCGAGAATGCTTCAGATGCAAGGGAGAAATCTTACTTAATTGGTGCAGTAGCTCCTTCCGGCCCCCCGAGCTCAGGAAGCGGAACGAGGTCCCATTTGAAGTGCAGCCCCCAGTTGAATCCCCCCCGCACCACAGGGGATGAGCTGTAGGCCAGCGTGTCCGCGCTGATGATGTCGATCACGGGGCACACGACTGTCCGCTGGTCCTCCTGGATGGCAGCCAGCAAGGGCTGCAGCCACATCACGTTCACTTCACAGTGGCTGTCCAGGAACACCAGGACTTCCCCTGCAAAGGAGGCAAGCGGCGGTGCAGTCAGAGCTCACCGGGGCTTTCCGGGGCTTGGCCCTGCTCACCGCCTCCCCTGCACACCCACTCCCATCTGCCGGGCGTGGCTGCAACTCCATGTTTAGCCTCTTCCTCCCTCCTTTCTCATGAGCCCCCAGTGAACTGATTACCAAAAACAAGTAACTTTCTCCCCTTCATCCAGTATGCGGTCATCCACAGACTGAATTCAAGTGTATTTGTCTTTTGAATTCTACTCAAAGACTTACTGGCTGGGCCATGTTGAGTTATTGAAGGCATCGAGATAGAGAGAAAATTGTGGGGTACTGGTGGGGAATGGCAACATCATGCCACTGGAAACACTGTACTGTTACAATAGATTATTACTGAGAATTCATGTTTTCTGATACTAAGTGTTTTTTTCTTCTTTCATTATGATCTGCTGAACTTTGTTCAAATATACGTTAGGGACTGTCAGAAACAAGCCAGTTTGGGGGAAGTCAAGTCTCAGGCTCAGTGTGACCATACATCATCTTCACCTAAATTGGCTTTAATTGAAAAAAGTAACATTTTTGGAGTTAGGAAAAGCTATGAAAACATCTTGTCCTCAAAGGAACCTTGACTGAACTGACTTAACCTGAGAATAGACAGTGGACAGGTCGAGCCTTTTGCCTTGCTGTATGAAATAACCCCGGGAGCTGCATGCTCTTTACAGCCTTGTAAGGTCCCTCACAGACACTGAGCGACGTGACTAGCTCACTGGCATCGTGAGAACTTTCCTGCCTGAGGTGTTGCTGCTGTCATTAACCGAAAGAGAATGCATCTGGTGCTTCAATTAATTCTTGTGAAATCTAGTGAGCATTTCAGGGGTAAATCATTAGAATTAATAGCATTAATGCTATCTGATGAGATTCTAGTTTCTCAACTGCTCAGAATAACCATGAAGTTATCAAAGAAACCCTCACTGCCATTCACATTTATCAAGTGGAGTTAAAAATGCAAGATAAAATCTTTATGATTTTTATTTTGCTAACAAGGCTGGGGGAATTAAAAAGGTGGAAAATGAAAGAATAAGAAGTGCATGCATGGCAGTCGAGTGCTGACTCCAACGGAGAAGGGAGCTGCACCATCACCATGACGACGGGCGTGCCCTTCCCTCGCTCCTGAAAGAACGGATGTGTTGTAGCAATAATCCGTAAATGCAGTCATGTTTCTGAAGCACCAATGAAAATGCAGTTATGCTCTCCATTCTTTAAGGCAGGGAGATGTATACTAAATTCAGAATTATTTCGATTATCGTAATTGGCACAGCTGGTCACTACACCACACTCTATACCTGGCTGTCCAAAGAATTACTGAGGAGAATCTCAGCTGTCTGTAAATTTTTTCAAGAGTTGGGCTTATTTGTATATGTTCCTCAATCCTAATGGTACACTTCAGGCAGAATTCCTGGCTAAAAGACTTAATTATTTGGGCTGGGAGGGTGGCGGTTATATTTCATGCCATTATCTGACTGAATCGGCAGCTGTGCCTAAGTAAATTACCTTCATGACTTTTTTTGGCCATATCCATGCACTACGTGCATCATTATATAGCTAATATTTTTAAACAAATTCATTTAAATTTACTTTAAAAGGAAAACTTTTTATCAAGATCATAAATGAAAATCAGGATCTCCAACTTTACATGGCGGTAACCATAAAAATTCAGTGGAATCGGTATGATGTAACTGAAGACTAACCAGATAGATTTCCAGCAGAACATTCTGAATTTGACACCCGTTCTTTCCTTTTAAAAGAGGAGCTCGGTGTAAGCTGGAAAGGTCCTAAAGATTTGGTAGTACCACTGGGAACTTTCTCTGTGATGGAACCAGGAGGATTAAGAGGGAATTTTAAAGACAATACCTTTATAGTTATGTGAGTGAATTTTTAATATTGTGCCCCTTTACCCAACTAAAACCATGATGCATATCACCAGTGGTATACAGTCACACTTTAAGTATTGTTGGCATAATTCAAATCACTTTGGTTACATAGTGTAAATTTTGCATTTACAAAATTACAGTTCAGCTGCATTTTGGATTGCACCCTTCGGCTATGAGTGAACGACTTTATACCTGTCTGCGGGGAGGTGTTAACAACAAGGGCCATGATGAGAACAGGCCAGTGAGGACGCAAGAGGTCACCTCCGTGAACTCTGTGCTTTGCGGAGCAGGGTTGCAGTTTCCCAACCTGCACAAGTCTCATCTCTCCTGCTGGTGTGCCCACTTCAAACACCACTTTCCACGACCTCCGCAGAATCAGACCAGGCTCCAAGGACAGAGCCCTCATCATCCAGCACCCAACCAGAAAACCCAACGGGAAGAAGATACCTGTCGCGTGGGCTGCTCCAATCATTCTTCCTCGAATCAGTCCCTCCCGCTTTGTATTTCTTATTACTTTAATTTTTCCAGGGAGATGCTTTTGGGCAAATTCATCTAATTCTCCTTTCAAATCATCTGAAAATAATGAGTCCCATAATTATTCAAACCACGTGAGGCACATACAAAGGACATTTTATAGCTACTCTAAAGTTGTATCTGCTATTTGCAAACAAATTATCAAGTAAATATTGCAGAGTTTTCTTGTGCTTTATTTTAAAAGGGGAAAGAAATGAAGGTTAAGAGTTTGAATCCAGCCAAGAGGAAGCGTTACCTTGTAGACTTATTTGTATTTCGATAGCAAGGATCACAGTGCTTTGCATAAACAACATGTGAAATGAACATCTTGAGTCAATGAACGTTCGACTGACTGTATATAAATCAGACTTAAAACTAAGAAAATGGGATATAAATGTCTTTTGTTTCAAAGTAATTTATCAAGTCTTACTCCAGTTCAGAATAAGTGAGAAACAACTTCTGTTGCCTCTACCAAAAATTACACAAGAACAGCAGTAAATATGCCCTTCTGTTAGTTTAGCACCTTCCCAGGGCACTAACTGTTTTTCATAAATTGTATCTCATTTACCTTTAAGTTTCATAACAACTTCAAAGATCATATAAAAAGTAATTCTTTCCATAGTTAGTACATAAACCATTGTAAATTATCATAAATTTAGATAAAATACACACAAAGTGAAAAACAGGTTGACTTAAAAAAAAAAAAACACACCATAAATTCTAGTATCTAGTATTTAGCCAACCTTTTATTTGGCCCAGACTCAAATTCTTAGTTATTTTTTAATCATCCACTGTTGAAATAAAATTTTGTTTTCTGTTAACTTTTCTAAATTTTCTCCTGCAAGGTTTTAATATTTACCAAGTTTTGAGAATTTTACTCCCATTGGCCCCAGTATGTATTTCCTCACTTTGTATACTTAAGTACTGGTACCAATTCTGTTGTTGATATAAGAGGTTAGCTTAATAAACACCTGAGTTGTGGAAAAATATGTGACCGGCATACGATGCATCAGTGTATCTCTGCAGCTTACTGTAATGAAAAGAGCAGGAGGCTAGGAGTTATGTGGACCAGGCATCTAATTTTAACTCTAGCAATGAACAACTATGGAATCTTGATCCAATTACTTACTATTGTGTTGTCGGAAAAGTCATGACGCATTTTCGCAATGAAAAACATAGAAAAAAATATGTCATGACTTTTCTGACAATCCAATATTTCCTCTGTAACATGGGGAACAATCTATCACACAAGGCTGAGAAGAGCTGAAGAGTAGCATAAATAAAAAGCTCTCTGTCCTGCCATGTGTACATGAAACCATTTTTAGGAAGTCTATGTTGAATTATACACTTTTCTTTAAGATATTTACATACCGACTCATAAAAATGGCATTCAGAGATCATCTAAAAGCTATCAGAATGTAATCTACTTTTAACTGGGGACAGTCCGGGGTTAACAGACTTATTAGATAAACATAAGCCAAGGAATTATGCCAACTGAAAAACGCTGATCTCAAAAGGTCACATACTGTATGATTCTGGGCCTATAACATTCTTGAAATGACAAAATCACAGAGATTAGGTTTGCCAGAGATTATGGGTGGCGGGTATGACTCTAAAGGGGTAGGGTGAGGGAGATCTTTGGGGTGATGAAGCAAGGTCTGTAAGTTGTTTACAGTGGTGGGTTGAAGGAATCTACTCAAGACAGAATGACAGAGAACTGTACACACACACTGTACCAAGTCAAGCCCTGGTTTTGATACTGTACTGTAATTATGTAAGATGTAACCAACGGAGAAAACCGGGTGAAGGGGTACATGGGAGCTCTTTGTAACTTATTGTGAATCTGTAGTTATTTCAAAATATTGTTATTTTAAAAGCTAATAAGCCAAGGGAAACATTTCAAGGGCCAAATTTGGGCAGCACCGTTTGTGAACAGATTACAAAGGTAATGCAGTTCCTTCAAAACGATCCTATGACTGGTGGACAGGCTCCCCAGCAATTCCATGTGTCAGGGTCCCCTCCCGCACGATGTGCTGAGTGGTCGGTTCTGCTACTGCTGTCACTACTAACGTGCCCAATCCCACATGGGCAGTTCCACAGTCCTTACCGAAGTCACTGTCATCGTCCACGAGGATGATTTCGTGGAGAAGCCGGGCTGGCGTGCGGTCCAGGACACTCTGCACAGTGCGGAGCAGAGCAGACAGGGCTTCGTTGTAGAAACAAATAACCACACTAGCAACGGGCAGGTCCCCCGGATACGTCTTGTCTTTACATCTGTACGAGAAACATCCCGACATTTTCAAAGGCTCAAATGTATTAAGTTGTTATTCACTAAATATTAATTGCTACCTTGTTCAGCCTCTTCCTTACATTACAATAATTTTTTTAAAAAGCATTTAAGAAAACAATGTGGTTTCTTACTCAAGAGTTTTATATTAATTTCTCCCTCTGATAACTGCTACTTTGCTTATCTTCAGGTCCACATTTTAAAAACTTGATTTTTTTTTTCCTTTTTTGGTACATAGGTTACATAAAATCACTGCACATTTTTTAATGCAGCTTTTGTATGCTGGTGTTCAGCTTCTCTTCAGTGAGGTTTCCAGAGGAGATAACAAAATGTATATTTGAAAATTTTATTTTTGCCCAATAGAAATCAAGTGAAGTAAACTATGATATATAGATCAAAATAATGGAGGTGCTTCCACATAAGAAACTACTAGGTGGCTTTATACAACAACGATACAAAACCACCGCCGTAAAGAATAAAATCCACATTTCCCTGTTCCGTTGCGGCACACAGAGCCTCCCATGCCTGGGCCTGGTACCCTCCAGCCTCGCGCCATTCTTCCCTGTAGCCAAACTGAACTATTTCAGTCCCTTTGACGAGCCACGCAGCTTTACGCCTCAATCAGTTCCCTGTTCCCCTGCATCACTGCTCAGTCCTCACACTCTGTGAAGTCGTCCCTGACCACTCTGGTTTGGGGACCCCCATTTCACGCTCACTAATGCTACTGCAATTACTTGTTTCCTTATTTACCTCCCCTGCTAGACGCTAAGCCCTGTGAATCCAGAAATGGCTTATTGTGTGTATTTCCAGGGCCTACGACAATACAATGTCTAGCAAACTGAAGGTGCTCAAAAAAGTTTGTCTGTGGAATGACTGATGGCCCAACCATAGGAAAGAAAAGCCTTCTGAAGAAACAAAAATAATGGAAACAGAAAAGTGAGAAGATGAGTAAAATTCTTCACTGATTTTAATACTTTTCACCATGAATCTAATAAACATTTAAAACAAACTTATGCTCAGAAGGCATTTAATTTTATGCTGTTAGCACCCCCTTCCTTTTCCCCACATGATAAACGTTAAAAGACAGCAAGCTCTAGAACTTTGTTCATAGCACCTCAGACCACATGGCTTCACGTGTAACAAGAGTGCAAATCTGCCCTAGGTTGTCTACTACCCTGAATAATGAAGCGTGGCTGAGAGTCTCAGTGCCACCCTCCTGACGTACTATACAGGCATGAAAGCACTGTGTTACTAAAACGATTAGCAGAAAGCAATAAGGAGCATACGCTGCGTTCCTTGTATCAGGCACATCTCTATGGGAGCCCAAGCGGTTGCTAATAAGCATATTGAAGGCATGCTTCTGATACCCCAAGTCTCTCAACTCCTGATCACGTTCATTAAAAATCATACCTGCAAGAGAGGGAAGTTACAGTCAGTGCATTAAGTCTGCAGAGGATTACTACAATTACTGTTATTAAACTGTGATCTTAAGAAAATTCAGACTTTAACCTCTTAACCACCTAATTGCCATGTTTGTCAAATCTAGGTTGTCTCCATTTTCAAAAAATTGAACTGAGGTTAAAGCCAAATTCTTACCCATCCAGCTCAAAAAGTAAGTGTACCTTAACCAGAAATGACACCTTCTCACCAGTCATAATCTTAAGAATATTTTCAAGAGAAAAACTTATCTCTGACCAAGAAAAAACTTAATGATGATTTTTCCCATGAAAGCAATAATTATAGAACCCATATAGACCTCAACAGGTCCCAATTACAGACACGATTTTATATAACCCTCCCCCACACACACACACACCCAAAGACTTGTTAAACCTTTCTATAAAGTCATCGGTTCCAGACTTAATCAGCATCGTGGCCAAGAAAGTCCTCCACATATCTAATCAAATGCCTGTGGCCTGATGCTCCTGCTGGACACTAGCCGAAACCCTACCTTTGTTCAGAACGAGTCTCCTTGGCTTTCTCCCTCCATGTCAAGCCCTTGGACTCTCCTCAAAGAATGACTCCCTTGCAACTGTACTTCCCGAAGTCTGGTCATGGAAAACTAATTCCACTGGACATTAATAAATGGTCAAAAGAAAAAAATTCCATGGTCAAATAATTCAGGGAAACACTGGGTTTTAAATGTAGAATCGTTCTTTGTTTGTTTGTTTTTTTAATGGCAGGACACCCCTGATCCTTTACAATGGTGGCTGTTTCATGGATACCCAGGAGTGAGGGGACAGGACACGGAATGCAGTGTTTCCCTCATTTACCTGACCACACGACTAGAGTCCTCAGATCTACTTTGGGAAACACTACCTTTTAATATGTATTCTCTGTAACTTTTAAAGCTGGACTACATCCTTTTAAAAATTTTATTAGCATTTCACACAAGGATGGAAACTCCATGAGAACAGAGACTTTGGTTATATTCAAAACAAAAGAAATAAAACAGCTTGGTGCCCAGCACGTAGCAGCACCTTGCACAAATCAGTGTCTCAAAAAATACTCCTGGACTCAACAAATATCAAACAGAGGACTATCTCATAAATTATTTCTAATATAACCTCTTGGTGAAAAATTATTCCATGTTAAAAAATCATTTTATGTCCATCAACAGTAAAGTGGGAGTAAAAGATGAATGCATAAGAAAATGTGATATATATACCAATGGAATATCATTCAGCCATAATAAAGAAGGAAATCCTACCATTTTCGACAACTTGGTTGAATCTTGAGAGCATTATACTAGGTGAAATCAGAGAAAGACCAATACTGTTACACTGTATATGGAATCAGATTTGTGGTTGCCAGAGGTGGGAAGGGGGGATGGAGGCAAACTGGGTAAAATTTATCTAAAGGTACAGGGGATGTGATGTACAGCATGGTGACTATAGTTAAAAACACCATATCATATGGGTATATTTGAAAATTGCTGAGAGTAGATCTCAGAAGTTCTCATACACATATATGCAATCATTATGTTGTACACACTGAAGTAGTATAATGTTATGTCAATTATATCTCAATCAATTGGGGGTTAAAAGATCACTTTAGCTTAGTTTTCTCCCTCCCCTGCACAAATAAAATGGCAGTCAAATTTCAATTAATTAACATGCCAGAGGAACTATTTCAATTAATTTGATAATTAACTAGATTAAATCAGAAAATATATTTTTAATTTTAAATTGATCTTTCTAAAAAATACTTTTTTATGGGTTTTTTCCCGATTGTTTAATGATAACACCCTATTCAGAAATACACTTTTTAACTCTTACTATACTAATTTATATTAATTCCTTCTAAACTTTTCTTACTAAGAAATCTAGTGGGGTGGTTTTCTTTTTTTCCATTTTTGGACTATGGTAAAATGTACAGACATAAAATTTACCATTCCTGGCACTCAGTACATTCACCATGGTGTGGTGCAACCACCCCGCCTATCCAGCTGCAGAATATTTTCACCCCAAAAGGAAACCTATACCCGTAAAAGTAGTCACTCCCATTCCTCCCTCCTCCAGCCCCATAACCATTAATCTGCTTTCTGTCTCTTTGAATTTGCCTATTCCGGACATTTTCTATAAAATGAATCACACAATATTTGACCTTTTGTGTCCTACTTCCTTCACTTATATGTTGTAGCATAGATCACAACTCCATTCCTTTTTATGCCTGAATAATGTTCCACTATACAATACAAACAGACCACATTTGATTTGTCCTTTCATATCAGTCAATGGACATTTGTGTTGTCTCTACCTTTTGTCTAGTGAGAATAATGCTGCTATAACAATTTGTATACAAACTTTTGTTTGAACACCTTATTTGCAGTTCTTTTGGGTATATACCCAGGAGTGGAACTGCTAGGTCGTATGATAATTCTGTGTTTATTTACCGAGGAACCAAACTTTTCCACAGTGGCTGCACCATTTTACAATCACACTTGCAGTGTATGATTGTTCCAACTTCTCCACATCCTCAACAACACCTGTTACTTTCCTTTGTAAAAAAATTATAACCATCCTATTGAGTGTAAAATGGCATCTCACTGTGGTTCTGGTTTGCATTTCTGTAATAACTAATTATGTTGAACATCTTTTCATGTGCTTATTGGCTATCTTCTTTGGAGAAATGTTTATCAAATCCTTTGCCCATTTTTAAATTGGGCTATTTGTCTTTTAGTTGTTGAGTTTTAAGAGTTCTTTACATATTCTGGATAATAGACCCCTGTTAAAGATATGGCTATTTTCTCCTGTTCTGTGGGTTGTCTTTTCTCGCTTTCTTGGTATAGAAGTTTTTAATTTCAATGCTGTCCAATTTATCTATTTTTTTTGTTGTTGCTTGTTCTTTTGGTGTCATATCTAAGAAACCACTGCCAAATCCAAGATCATGAAGATTTATCCCTATGATTTCTTCTAAGGGTTTTATGATATTAGCTCTTACATATAGGTCTTTATCTATTTTGAGTTAATTTTTATATATGATTTAAGGTAAGGGTCCAACTTCATTCCTTGGGCATGTGGATATCTAGTTGTCCCAGCGCCATTTGTTGAAAAGACTTTTCTTTTCCCCATTAAATGGTCTTGACACCCTTTTTGAAAATCAACTGACCACAAAGGTTTATTTCGGGACTGTCATTCTATCCACTGCCACTGATCAATGTCTGTCTTTATGCCAGTACCACACTGTTCCTGCAGCTTTGCAGGAAGTCCTGAAATCAGGAAGTGTGAATTCTCCAAATTTGTCTTTTTCTAAGATTGTTTTGGCTATTCGGAGCCCCTTGCAATTTGTGGACCAAAAAAGGGGTTCTATAGAAAGTAACCTCACAGAGCAATCAGGTCATCAGTTCCTATCTGGGCAGGTCATGGTGGGTAGTCATGTCCCAGGCATATAACTTCTTTACCAAAAGGCTCATTTTTGCCTTAAGCAGCCCTGTCCATTGTTTCTGTGCATCTAGGTTACCACATCTTTGAAATGCCCCATTTTAGACCCCCAAGAGAGCACCTAATCTTATTAACTATTCTGTAATCCCATCCCTAAATTGCTCCAGACTTCATATATCTTTCATATACTCCCTCCTTAATCTCTAATGCATATAAAAACTGCCAACTGTTATTCTCAGAAGTACTTTTCTCACTCTGTTGAGATCTTGCTTCCAGGAGTATCCTCTTTTTGGCTCAAATACATTTTTATAAATATTCTCTACAGGTTTGGACATTACTTATGTCAACAAATTCCACATTAATTTTAGAATCAGCTTTTCCATCTTTTCAATTAAGGCCATGGAGATTTTGATAAAGTTTGCATTCAATCTGTGGATCGCTCTGGGTACTACTGATACCGTAACAGTTTTTAGTATTCCAATCTATTGGGTCGTCGGGAAAGTCATGAAGCATTTTTGCATTGAAAAACACAGAGGAATACGTCATGACTTTCCTGACGACCCAATATAAACCTAGCATGTTCTTCCATGTATTTAGGTCTACCTTTTATTTTTTTCAGCAGTGTTTTGTAGTTTTCAGTGTACAAATCTTACACCTCCTTGGTTAAATTTATTCCTAAGTGTTTTATTCTTTTGGACAGTATTGTAAATGGAACTGTTCTCTTAACTTTATTTCTAGACTATTCATTACTAGTGGTTTGTGTGTTGATCTTGTACCCTGCAACTTTGCTGAATTCATTTATTAGCTAGAATAGTTTTTTGTGTGTATTTTGTTGTGTCTGTTTAAAGAATTTAGTTGTTCAGTTAGGCAATATGAGTTTGTCACTTCTAGCTACAATTCTCTCACTTCTTTCAAAGGCAAATACAATGTCCATTCAAAATGCTAAATCCAATGTTACTTCTTCATAAAAGTTTTCCCAAAACAACTATGAATAAAAAAACCAGAAAATTTCCCATTAATGTTCTTAAAATGTGTAAATGGCTATTTGAAAAAGATTAGAAGGTGTGCTTTATGAAAACTGAAGTATTAGCTTTTGTTTCCTTATACAATTTTAAGTACTTTTGACTTCATGTATTAGAAAACCATTAAGTCCTAGAAACTGATTTTATTTCTGTGAAACTATGACCACATTTTAAAAAGTTTTCGTATTTCCTTTATATTCTGTGGATCTTTCCATTTCTCAAAACCTCTTACTATATGCTTTTACTCCCACTTTACTTACTATCTGATGCTTCCATGACAAGATCAAAGTCCTCTTTTTTAAGTTTTAAAGAAAACCAATGTGGACAAAAAAGGGGCCACATAGTAAACCTGACAAGCTCAGGGGAGGCCAGCATGGTGGGCCCTATAAACTCAGAGACCGAAACCAGCCTCATAGGATGGTCTGAACATACAAATTCCTAACTAAGAGCAGGTCATGGTGGGTCATCACGTCCTAGGCCTGTAACTTCCTACACAAAGGTCCTCTTTACCTTAAGTGAGCCTGAACCTGTTATCTTTTTGCATCTGAGATAACACACCCTCGGAATGTCAGCGTAATCTCCTTTGCCAGACCCCCCTACCGTACCCCAGGGCACACCCACTGCACCAGAGCGGACCACAGAACCCCTCATTGTTACCTTGTTCCCTGAATACCATCTCTAAGTGCTGGAAATGTTAATTATTAAATGTCCCGTACCCACCAATGTGAAAGGAGTGTGTGTCTCTCCCTATTACTTTTTATTTAATCCCAGATTTTCCCCATTTTGTTTTCTCCTGACTCCTTAAATCTACCACCCATGGATTCCATGTAACCGTCCTTATGTCTCCTCCTTTGATTCTAATGTATAAAATAAGCTGTAGAACTGCCATTTTTCTGGAGCATTTCTTCAATTTACTGAGATTTAGCTTCCCAGCAATTGTGGTCAGTTTGGCTCAAATAAACTCATAAAAACTCCCTACAGGTTTGGATGTTTTTTATGTGGACACCAAAATGGCTCATTTATCCCTTGCTTGCTATAACCAGTATTCTAGAGTTGTAATATTCAAAGACACATACAGTAGATTCTTGTTACCAAATTGAACAGAATGTAATTTTTGAAAAAAAAAGTCCCCATTTTATACTCAGATTTTATAAACTCCTATATTTAGTAAACATATTCCAGCACCTCAGTCATCTTATAAGTAGAAATATTAGCTATAAGTAATATCAACTTATTTCTACACCCAGTGGTTCATGTTGTTTTAATTAACTCTGTGAGTTTCAAAATACGCTAGTTAAGTGATCTTTCAACCATTTCTTTCCCTTATTAAATAATGATAGCAATTAAAATTTCCCCCATAGGTTCCACTGTCTTTCCAGACACTTAATTGTTCCTTGTTTTTCTATTCTGGACCTTATTCGTTTCTCCCAAATCCTCATAAAATACTGAAGTCAGAATTGGACATATTAAAACATAACTCCCCACTGAGTCTGCAAAAATTATAAGGACCTCAGCTAACTCACGAATGAAATAAAAGTGGAAAAAAATGACACATTTCTAATCTGATGAGCAACACACAATTTAAAGAATAATTAAACTTAAACTTCCAATGATTAAATATTTTGACATGCTGCTAGCAAAAATTAAATACTTACCCAATTCAGAAGAGAATTTCAAGTTGCCTTTTTCTGTATCTTCGATATGATTATCTATCACATCATCAATTTTGTTTGCTTTGAACTGTAATTCTAATACTCTACTTGGACCTCGAGTAAAACGGGGGTAGAATTTTTTGGGGAATGGTCCATGGGGCCCAGACCCCTTGATGGGCACATTCTTAAGTGGCTGAGTCACTTCACTGATGTTGAAATAAACAAAAAGCAAAACCGTCCAAGTAGCAGATGTAAAAAGGCATCCATAACAAAAATAACGCACTGTGATGCTTCCCATTATAGACCTAGCATAGCTGAAGGGTCATTTTCAGTTTCCTGGAAGAGAAAAATAGATATGTCAGACACTTCGGGACACCTGTAAATCACCCACCAAGTTCATATTCACTGTTTCCCAAACCACCAAGTTGCATCTATTTACCCAGGACCCCTATGCATACCGTTAACAAAGATTAAAAAAGAAAAAGATATGTGGCTAGCACTGAATTAAAAATAAAAGGATTCAATAATTAAAACCACAGGCCAATGTGTTAGTGCTCAGGAAACCAATGGCAGCAAAATAGCTGACTTATTCACTTGCCCATGTTAATGGATACTTCCTCACCTTTGTTCTGGATTGCTTTCAGTTTGGTACATTTTTTCAAGTTCTAATTTTTAATGAGGAAAATACAAGTACTACATGTGTCATGCTGGTACACCTAAGGTCCCTTCCAACTGTAAAATTATAAGACTCTTAACCCAAGGATCTTAAAATGTTATGAAAATAAGCAACTTTAAAAAATAATTGCTTAAGGAGTAGCAAACATACGAAGCAAAAAGACATTGTGTAGATGCTGAATTCATTATTGATTAGCACATATGAGATTAAAATTTCAGCATTTGGTTTTGTTTGGATGAGTTCATTTCTTAAGCAGTTAAGACCTGTTATTTTATTAAGTAACAGGCATCTGATTGCTTTGCACTTTCTTCATGTTTAGGTGTTAACTTCTTGACCTGTCTGAAAACTGAGTGCCTTTGCTGCTTCTGAAGACAATTGTGGTTCATTATATAAAAGAAATGACCTGATTTTATAAGTTTCTCTTGTTTTTATAGGTTCCTTAATTTATATAATGATTCACTACATAAAAAATGTTCTCTAAAGAATTTCGTAATATGGCTTGAGGAAAATAATAATATTTACCTGATAGGGTTGTTGAGAGTTAATAGTTTAATACATTTTATAGTCCAGGAAACACAGACTCTTACTATTGAGCTACTGTGGGGAGGATGAGCCAGGAGTGTTCTGTGAAGAATCTGGACAGAGCTGGCCAGATGGTACAGGTGAAGTCAAGAGGAGAAAACTTTCATTTTGCCCTTGGGCACTGGCAGCCAAGAGGGCACCTAAGATCATGCAGCGGACAAAATGGAAAGCAATCTCCCGTTTTTTTCAAGCCCTTAATTTGTGAAACTGGACAGCGAGAGCCTGTTGTTTTCTTTTACCTTTTCTAGTAATAAGTTTGGCTGTTGTTCTACCTAGTTTTCCTACTGTTGTTGAACTAAGGTAGTCACGATCTCTGTGCATAGCATTAAGGTAGTGCTTGGCTCAAACAGGATAGTAATACATTTGTTTAGAAATTCCCGTTATGTTGCAAGCATACTGAGAGCCGTATCAGTGATTTTTTTTTCATTAATTTCAACAAATATTTATTAAATGTTTGTTATGTGCCAGGTTTTTTTAACAAGCTCAGGGTATATTGCAGGAAATGGAACAGACAAAAGCTCTTGCTCTGATGAAGCTTACAGGGGGGAGATGGATGATGAATAATAAACGTTTAACAGATGAGGAATTATGTACAATAGTATGTAAGAAAGTGGTTAAGTTGCAGGGAGTAGAGAAGATCAGAAGTGCTAGTGTTTGGTGGTTGAGTTGCAGTTTTAAATAAGGAAGTCTAGATAGAGCCTTACTGAGAAGGTGATATTTGAGCAAAGAGTCAACAGAGGTGAAATTAGCTAGTATGGAAGTATTCTAGGCAGAGGACAGAACTGATGCATAATTCCTAAGTAGGAGTATAACTGACACATAAGTGACTCAGAAGTAGTGATGTGGCATCCTTATCTTGTTCCTATTTTCCAAAAAAAATGATTTTAACATTTTACCATTATCATTTTTGCTTTAAGATTTTTGGAGATGTTTTTTGTCAGGCTAAGGATTTCCCTATTTCTAGTTTGCTAAGAATTGTGTTGAATTTTAATAGATTCTTTATCTTTACTAATCAAAGTATTAATTTTTTAAGATAATGGATTATAGGTTTTCAAATACTGAACCAGTCTTGTATTCCTGAGGCAAATACAATGTGTTCGTGATGTGTTTGTTTTTTAAAATTTTGGTTTCAGTTTTAATGTTTTAAGATTTCTGCAATCTCTTTGAGCTTGTCTTTAATATTTCTCCCGTATACTGTCCTTGTTTTGATATCAGGGTGATAATAGTCTCAGAAAGTGAGAGAGAATGTTTCCTCTTTTTTCTGTTCTTTGGAGGCAGTCATACAAGATTAGAAATCATCTGTTCCTTAAATGGTTGAAAGGACTCACTTGTAAAATCATCTAGAAATGTTTCTGCAATGGTTTAAAAGGATTAAAAAACATCCAAGTTTCCTGATTTTCCAGTCAGTGTTGTGCATTTATGTTCTTCTAGGATTTTATCCATTTCACCTAAGTTTATAAACAATATTTTTATTATTAAGCTACACCTATATTGATTCCCTCATTTTCTTTTTCAGTATTATTTCTTTTTCTTGATTAGTCTTGCCGGTGCTTTGTTAATTTTATTGATCTTTTAAAGAACCAACTTTATGCTTTTGTTATCTTGTTTCATCTTTATTTTCTATTAATTCTGAGAAGTTACTGTTTCCTTCTTTTGTTGGGTTTATTCAGTTATTTTTTCTAAATTCATAATTTGTGGTTTGTATTTTCTAGTATTAGCATCCCAGGCTATAAATTTGGTGTTGCAGGTTTTGAAAAGTAGTTACTTTTAATTTTATAATTACCTGTGGCTTCAATACCCAAGGCTGAAAGCCTTTAAAAAGGAGGGTCAAAGCAAACATTTAAGGTTAGTTAATACAAAACAACTAGTGAACAAATTCTTTCAATCATAAACTTGAATAGTTAATTAAGCCAAAACTTCAGCAGTGAGACAGCACTGTAATATATTTTTCAAAAGGTAAATGAATAAAAGGCTAACCAGCTATGTACATGAATTTTCAGTGAAATAAGGCAGGATGGTTTTATGTCTTCTTTAGTGTTGGACTGGTAGCTGCTCAGGGACAGGTGCCCTGTAAGCAGAGAGTCAGGATTTTGCCAGGGGGTTCAGAAAAAGAATGGGAGAGGTGGATGCAACGTGCTGATCAGAATGACAGACCAGAGATCTAAGCCTGGCAAGGAGAAACATGAGGATGAGGATAAAAAAATATGGATGGGTCAGTGGATCAGAGGCCCTGGTGTGGCTGAACAATTGTTAAGAGTTATGTTACCAGGGAGACTGACCTGGAAAGACTGACTACTGAGGTTGGAAAACGAGATGCCAACACTCAGGTTATGAAGAGGTGCAGTTAATGAAAGCAGAGGAATCCTTTCCAGGTTCGTCAATTGGCGCTATCCCAATAAATAATTTGCCTATAGTACATGCATACCTCAAAACCAAACTTATTATTGCTACTGTTAGCATCTACTGTTACGTCAAAAATGCTCTGTGGCACACTCTTTAGGTCACAAAAATCTAAAATCTCATGAGATCTCACTCAATTTAAATCAACATCATTATCAGATTAGAGTGGGGTATTTCTCAATAGCACAATAGTTTCAGCTAAGAAGACCTATTTTGAGATGCTTTTCATAGTCATCTTCTATAAACAACGCAGTACACACACCAGCTACTAAATTATGCTCCATACAGTAAATTATGCCGAGTTCACCAAGACAATGCTTGTTATGCAATGTCACTAGAGATACTTTAAATTATTCCATTAATCTCCTAGTCATAGCCTATTAAATGTACTAAACAATCCAACATCTTTCCTCTGAAAATCATTAAATAAAAGGCTAATACTTAAAACAAAGTAGGAGCTTTATACGCCAGACACTATGCAAGGTGCTGGGGATTAATATTTTAAGCTCTGCTATCATGCTAAAAAAAATTTAAAAATCAGAAAATACAGATGAGCAAAAAGTTAAAAGTTAAAAACTAGCTGAAATCTCACCACTATTAATGTTTTACTATAAATTCTACTAATTTTTAATCTCTCTGCACTAGCTATAAAACGTTATACTGCTATCAGCAATTACCAAAAAATAAATTTAGTAGACTCAGATTAAAGACATGGATAATTTTCTGGTTAATTTTCTTATTTAGAACGTTTTCTACAAAGAATGTTTATTTAATAATCGAGGTAAAAAATTTCTTAGGAAAAAACCATCCTAACTTAAGAATATAAGAACAAATTTGGAGGGTAAGTATGTTAAGGCTTTGAATAAAATATGATGGCCTTTTCTTTTAATCTCAGAATCAAAGGGGATTTTAGCATACTAAAAGGAAAGAATATTTTAATTCCATTAATTTGTTAAAACTTTAAGAATAATATTTGAACACTGAACAGCTATTCGACTAATGAGACAATTAATTCTATTTAAACAGGACAGCTTTCATTTTCCCAGTAGTACAAAATAATTTTCATAATATTTAATGAAGTTTAAAATGTCTGTCTTTAAATGTTAAGTATTTACCTTTCAGCAGTTTCTGGCTATTTTCTCGTCAGTATACTCTCTGTTCCAAATTGTAAAACAGCAAACATTTGTTAGCTTTTTCCATAAGACACATTCGGATTTTAACGCAGCTACAATCATGTGAGTACAAATACTGATTTACAGCAGTGCCCTTCCTAAATGCCCTGTGAAATTACCAGGTGATGACAACACAAAAATACACACCATTCTTTCTCATTCCTTATCTACCCTGTAAGACTAGAAGAAAACATTGCCACCGACGTATTTCATAATTACAAATAAGAGATTGGATTAGGAAAGGTTCAGAGCAAATTCCAGACTCATATGCTCCCGGGGAATAATCCTTTGAATACTTCTGATATTTATGAATTTCCTCTCTATAAGAAAAATCTAAGAACATAAACACATGTAGTGTCTATATTTTTATATCTCAAATGTAGAGGAAAACCACATGGTTATGTTGATGGGAGAAAGAAGCAAATTTTATTAAACACTAAAGCAAAGGAAGCTAAAAGGACAGATGACATGCCAAAAAGCACCTAAAATAACCAAACTTGGGACAC